CTCATAAAAGACTTTGGACTCCATTTCCAGCAGGATGGTGCTGGCTCACTCAGAGCTGCCCCTTACCTGCGCTCATCGGTAGTTGCAGGACTCCTTGGAAAAGGCCAAGCATGCATGCCACTTGCCTTTGGCAGCTCTGGTTTAAGCTGCAAAGGCTGGTTACTTATATTTTGTGACATGCTCCTTGATTCTGGCAAGGCTTTCCTGTATTCTTCTTCTTTAGTCTGGTGGTTCTACAAAAGAAACACACAAAACTCAGGATGAAAACCTTCCAAACATTCCTCCTTCCCCCAACCAAGTTCCCAATGCATCACAGTAAGACAAAACCTTGGACTCTCAATTCAGTTGCCACCCCTCAGATCACCAACTCTCAGTCCATCACTACCCTTCAGATAATCAATTCTCAGTTTATTAAGAGGAGAGGAGTCCTTCTTGTGCCGTAGGCTTCCCCTGGAAACCCAGTTGAAACTTTGTGTGTTACCATGTCACTCGTGGCACTGCCCTGAGAACATCTGCCATCCTGACATCTTCCGTCCATGTCCAGTGCTCTCACCACTGCACATGGACCAGAGCTGCTTCTAGGGTTTTCCTTTTAAGGGTGCTTTGTCCAGTTCCAAAAAGAGCACAGTCTCTCACCTTTGGGACACCTGTCCCCCCCACCAAATTTCACCCTCTGGGGCCAAGGGGTCTCAACACTGAACTCTCTTGGTTCTGAGCCATTGCCTCCCCCTGGATGCAGTCTCTGTGTCACAGGAAACATAATTCTGTCCATGGCTATACAAGAAAAGTCCAGCCAAAGGCCACTCAATCATCTCCTGCCACCTAGAATTCTTCTCAACTTCTCTTGGACATCTTTCACTTGCACAAACTTGCATCACACTTGCCCATTTGCTGCTATTCATCCCTCTCTCTCTTCTCATTTAGGAGGAGGATCAGCATTTGTAACGTTTCAGTCATCCAAGAAAAGGGTTAAAAATATCAAGCTCTGCCTGTCCAGAACTCCCACGCGGCCCTGCACCCTCCCCTTCTCCTTCTCAGCCAACCTGCTATCAAATTCCAGGGTGGCACAGGCACAGGCACCGGCTCTCCCCCCCCGTCTCTCTCTCCTGGGTGGGGATGGCTGCCTGATGACTCTCCAGTGATCCTCCACCCTTCCATCCTGCAAGGGCCTCTTCACCTCCCCTCTCTGTCCAAGGCCCTACCTCACCCGGCCACATGGCTTCCCCTCCTGCGCCCAGCCCGCAGCTGGGCAGGGCAGCTCTGAACCTTTCCCTGACCAGAACCAAAGAGAGCTTTCCTGGGAGTCGTCTGCTTCTGACCTCTGTGTTCTCAGAGGCCTTTCCATGTCCTCAGTGGCCACTGGGAGAGTTATGCCTCTCTCTGTTCAGAGGATATGTGATTACCACATAGCAAAGCAGCTGTCAACAGAACAATAACACAACAGCCACCGGGACATGGGCACAGGAGCAGTCTCCCAAACTGAAACTCATAACTAAGCTAAACTCCTTTGAAAAACAGCTAGTTTGACTCATTGTCAGCTATTTAGCAATCTGTGGTATGTCCCCCATTTGGAGTCAGGATCTCATGACCCTGACTTGGGGATGTGGTTTTCAAAGTTTTCTGAATTGCAGCCAGGATGAAAAATTGTTATGACTAAAGTACGTTCTCTTGTGACCCTATAAGCAGTGATCCTGAGTGAGACCTTGTGAGCTGTGTGACCAGCATCTCCTGCTGAGTGAGGCTTCTCAGAGCCAGCAAACTCACATTTGCTGTACTCGGAGGAACATTTGTGTTCTGGTTTCAGATTGATTGATTTTAGATTTTAGCTTGCTTTTTGTCTATGTGCTTTAACCATCCAGTAAGTAAAGTGAAGCTTGACAATGAATTTTGTTGTGCTTTCACTTTAATATTAAACCAGCTTTTGCCTTTGCCAGTGATTCTTTAAGCAACCACTCACTTAAAGCATGAAAGATTCAAAAGCTTCCTACTTACATGCTTGAGTTTAGATACCCGTCCTGAGGGTGGGTTTACAACCACAGATTCTTTAAAAACGATCTGTAAAAGTCCAACAAGTTATCAGGTTATTTAACAAATTATCAGGTTATTTATCAGCCACAAGAAAGGCAGAAGGAATTAAGTATCTAACCCACTGCTGGTTGTCTGAGACACAGGAGCTTAGGAGCAGCTTTTAGAAATCAAAAACCTGTCAAGGAATACTACTACATACCGACTGCTTCGGCTGTTCTTCTCTGTACAGTCTGATGTAGAGTCGCCTTTGAACTGCCCACGCTTCGAAGGACAAGCCGGGAGTCTTCAGATTTAACGTTCTTGATGTTGCTTATTTTTCCTTATCCTGAAAATTTTTTTTGACCCGACAGAGGTCTGTCCAGCAAGGCAGCCAAGGGCACTCTCACCTCCCACTGGGTGGTACTCTATTTTTATACTAAAAACTACGTACATATGTTTACCTTTCTTTCCCAATATCTTTCACCCATAATGCCAAGTGCACATGCAAGACAAACCAATCCCAAAGTGCCAACATCACCACAGAAAATGGAGGACAAGAAGAAGGACAAGACACGCCCTGATCCCTCCATCTTGTCTCTCAACCCTCCTGTACCAAAATCCTAAAATCTATATTTCCACCCTGTAAATACTTAATTCTTACACCATTGAGGACAAGAGAGCCCAAGTGACTCTCTTGTCCTCAAACAACAGGTGGCACATTCCTTTCAGGGTAAAAATCCAACCACCAGGGGCTTCTGGCAACATTCCAGGATTTCTGAGGCCCCCCAAAGGGTTGTCTCGGTAACTCTGGACATCTGGAGTGATGTGCTGAGTTCCCACAACATACTATTAATTCTTTTTCTTTTGTGTGGCAACAGAAAAGCAAGCCTCCTCCTGGAGAGTGTTGTGAGCTGTGGTCAGGCATGGTCAGCTTCCTGCTGGTACACACACTCATCCATGTCATGAATGAAATAAACAGGGCAGGAGACTTCTCCTTTTAATGCCTTCATTAAAAGCGATCAGCTCGGGATTGGGCAGCTCCGACAGGTCTGCAGTCTCCTGTTGTGTCTCCCAGGGCAAGGAGGAGGAGGAGGAGGGTATGCGCAGCTTTGTCCACGAGGGGCAGAGCCGGGGGTGCGGCCCTCGTGGGAGCCTTTAGGGTGTGGTGGCCCCTCAGATGTTGTTGTTCCAGCTTTGCCCTGTCCGCTCCCGGCGTCGGGACGACTCCCGCGCTCAGGGTGAGAGGGACTACGAAGGTGTTCAGCATCTCTGCAGGCTCAGCACTCCGTTCCTGACGTCCATACATCACTCCAGTCTCTCAACTCTTAGTTGGCTCGTTGTTTTGGGGTCTTTTTTAACAAGCTAGAAGCAGTAGCTTCTCATGGCATGCTGGTCCTGGAGTTATTTTGCATATTCCCCCCCCAGGTCTCTTCTCCTCACTGTTTGGGGAGGTTCCCACCCTTCACTGTCTCAGAGAAGGCCCATTAACTCGGCCCCAGCTAGGCTTTTACTATTACAAAAACAACTATTAACGACAACGACCCGTAATTACCATAACACACAAGCAGCACCCCAGCAGCAACAGTGGTAACCTTCTTCTCACAAAAAAATTAGCAGAATTTTTGTTCATAACAATGAACAGCTTTCTTAAGACCCTTTCCCTTCTCCTTGCAGGGTGTCCATGCTGAGGACATCTCAACAGTGCTGTCCCTCGTGCCCCAGGCAGAGAAATTTACCAAATTCTGGATCTGCCAAGAAAAGCTGCTGGCCCGGAGTGGCCCCTTTGATGTGCTGCAGCGGTACAGAGAAGGAGTCAGCGCTGGGGCTGAGGTGAGTGTTCCCTGCCTCTCCTCTGGAAGGCTTCCACCTGGAAGCAAGCATAGGAGTTTGTTCTTGATTATTTACACATGCTAATTTTTTTATTTCATTTGAAATGTTTCTAATAATTGCATTCTTTACTTTTAATACTCCCTGGAGCCTGATGACTTTGTTTAACATAGATATTGGGGTCTGAACTTGGCTTTTACAATTTTAAATTTTCTCAATTTCTATTTCACTTTGCTTGTTCTGTTTAGTTTTTCCCAAATCATTGTATATAGGAACTCATCAACTTGATCCAGTTCCTTTGGGTTGATGAGCGTGGGCACTCCCTGGTGTTGCCAGACTGGAGGCAACACTGTTTACAGTCTGTCCCAGCACCTCGTGTCCCTCCTAAGGAGTGTGGTCAAAGTCAGGAATCCTGATCTGAAAAATGGGACACTGCTCTTCTGCCTGGGCTAGGGAGGGTCCTGGCCCTGCAAGCCTCTGCAGGCAGGCACCCTGCCCCTGTCCAGAGTGCCGAGGTGTAACCCCTAGCCAGTGCTCTAACTGTGCTGCCCTTTTCCTTTTGTGCCAGGACAAAGGAAGAAGACCCCAGACAAGACGACCTCAGACAAAACACCTTCTCTTGGTGTTTTCTTATGGCTGTAGATCTTCACAGCACAGACTCCTTCTTCTGCATGTTTCTTTCTTAGTCATGGCTCCTTCCAGTGGTCTTAGCAGTGGTCTTGGCACGCGGACTCTTCCAAGATGAACACCTCAACATTGTAACGGACTCTATATTCGTGGCAAGGCTCTGCCTAGCCATGGCAGGACCAGGTGTGTCAACAACTGCAGCAGCCCTAATGCTGGAAGAAGCACTCTCCTCGCGACAGGGCACCGTGTCAGTCATTCACATCAACAGCCACAACCCAGTCAAAGGTTACTTCCAGACTGGCAACGACAAAGCGGACGCCGCAGCAAAAGGCGTATGGACGTTGCAGGAAGCTCGTCAGCTGCACGAGTCACTCCACATCAGAGCCAAAGCGAAGAAATGTGAAATCTCCACAGCGGACACAAAACACGTGGTAGCCACTTGCCCTCATTGCCAAAAGTCACCCCTATGGAGCTGTGGGGTCAACCCGAGAGGTCTCAAGCCTTCAGAGATCTGGCAGTCGGGCTTCACCTGGTGTCAACTGCTGAAGCCCCGAGCATGGCTTGCAGTGACAGTGGACACTTATAGCGGAATGATCATAGCCACACAGCACCACAAAACAAACTCCAAGGCCACAATTCAGCACTGGCTGACAGCCATGGCTTGGCTTGGTATCCCCAAGCAGATCAAAACTGACAACGGTTCCAATTTCACCTCCAAACCAGTGCAAGAATTCGCCTCAAAACGGGGCATCACATTAGTGCAAGGTATCCCGTATAACAGTACCAGGCAGGCCATAGTTGAGAGAGCAAATCAGACCCTGAAAACCAAGCTAGAAGTGTTGGCAAAGGCAGAGGGCTTTGCCAATTCCATTCCCCCAGGAGATCAGGCGCGTATACTGGCAACCGCTTTGCTAGCACTGAATCAGTTCCCTAGGGGAGATGAAACAAAAACACTGGGCCACCCGAGCGCTAAAGGAGGGCCCACAGGTTGTAATTAGAAACGAGCTAGGCGAATGGGAACGGGGCTGGAGGCTGATGCTCAGGGGGCAACGGTACGCAGCTGTCAAAACGGACGGCAAAATCAGGTGGTGTCCACTTAAGTCCATCAAGCCCAACCTTCACAAGGAGCAGAATAAGACTGACAAGAATTGCAAGTTTCTGTTTACAGGACAGGCCACCAGTTCTGTCCAGGCTGGCTAGTGGTGCACTTTACTGAGGGGTGGTATGGTACGGTGAGTACCATATTTCTTACAACTGCCCTTTTAACCCTTTGTACAATATAATAACCAAACTAACAGTACATGCTTAACAATCTATCAACTGTTTACAACAGTTTACAACCTATTTTTGACAGCACCACGGCATGGTGTGTGATGCTATGCCACATCTGGCCATGCCATGCCATTCCATGCCATGCC